CCCACTTTACCGCTCTCTTACTCTACCTTAACTACTCTATGCGGATGTGCTTTAAGAGTTAAAATAACCAAGTGAATTGCGAACTGAAAAAATAAGTTTCAGTCCCGAATGTTAGCGTGCTTGTGAGGTTGGGAAAGAATGCAAACAGGAAAACCCCAAATTATTTATTTTTCAGAAAATCATGGCAAAAAATTATAGCATCCATGGAATTAGCAGCCAGCATGGATCTCCGCGGCTGCACTACACTGCAAAGAATTCCGTGGTTTGGCACGGAAAATGGTTAGGTGCTCATAAGGATCTCATGTAATCGGGTACAGAAAACATGGACGGAACCTCCGTGGTTGGTTAGGTACGGACGGTCCAGGTAAAAAATTGACCAGACATGTTCCGTGTAATTTCTGTACTTTTTTCTATCACTGCACCCAGCCGGCGTCACTAAACAGCCGCTCACACGGCGCACTGGGTGCTGACATGCCCAAAAGGCGGTGCGCCAGTCTCGCGAGGAGGGCGAACGCTCCAGTCCCAAATTCTTTGGACCAAAACAAAAAAAACATTAAAAACCATTTTTTAAAAAATAACCCAAATTTATGCAATAAACTAAGGCCACACACCTGAGTCTTCCAAAAGTCCAGCAAGCCTTCCAATGTTGGTGCGGCAGGAAATGGCGACTGAAGGTACTACACCTCATCCGTGTCGACGGTTGGTTCGTCGTCAGCGGCCCATTGGGCGTCGTAGTCGTCGTCCGGGGCGCGACGCTTAGCAGGTGGTGCTGGCCTGCCTTCGGCAGACTCTCTCGCCTCACATCTCCACACAAAGAGACCAAATTCTTAAGATAAATTGGGCCTAGAAAAATTAGGATGTTTTTGGGACTTTAAAATACAAACCAAAAAAAACATTGCATAATGGAAGGAATGGGAAAGCCCTTGCCCGTGTAGGTGAAGGAATGTAAGTCAATTTAAGTTTGACAAAAATTGCACAAGGCTTGGTGCGCGGCTAGCTTAGAAAATTGCTGACCCGCAATTGGTTCGAAAAACAAATTGTGAGCCAAAACAGCCTGTTTTGAAGACGGCCGTATCTCAGTAATCAAAGACGATAGACGGGGACGCCATGCTGTGAAATGAAGTCAAGACGCTTCAAAACTACTTTGGCCACCATGCGTTTTCAAAACAAAAATGCTACAGTTGGTTAAACTGTGAAACAGGTTGCAAACGTACTACTGCGCATGTTCAAAAACACTCCAATCAAGAAGTATTATTGGACAGTTCTACCCGAAAAACTGCGTTCGAACCGACACCACTTCTATTGTTGCACCTTGTTTACCTGCTGTCAAAGATATTTTTCATTTCGAACGTGCTATTTCAGCTTTTGGAGTAAGCTGTACAGACCCAAAAAGAAGCTCGGCTATTGGTCCGCCCCGGCTGCTTATTTACATACCGTGGGCGATTCAGCGCGGTATGAGAATTATGGCGATCGGAGCATTCCCGCTCCAGGGGACTTGGACACGGAAGGTAGGACAGGTGATAGCCACTTCTTCCGTGCAGTAGACACTAGCGTGTGTCAAGAATGCTGCTGAGTCCTCAAAACGCAAATGAAATACATTTCCAGAAATAACTTAAAAAGACTCTAAAATGATCTTGATCATACAAACACAATTTTCTGTTCAAATGATATTGCTGTGAAGATACTTGATGTAGCCATCAGTTTAGCATAATGTAGGATGCAATAATAAAAAACCTTTTTTAAAAAGAAAGATATTTTAGATCAATGAAAAATCAACACATCTTTACATGTTCATTTTAAGGGGTGTTAAGCCTGTTGGTGGTCAAAATATGACCTTCTATCCCTTTAATGGTCCGTTAACTATAAATAATTTAGATGTACTGCTCCAAAATTGCAGCTCCACTTTCTCGGAAGTGAGATATCCTCTATGAGAGAGATCAAATGAAAGCGACAAGTTTCCGTAAACTGACTTGTCAAAAAATCTTGCGAGCCTCATTTTTAAAGTAACCATAAGGTGAACATAATTGAACATTGATTGAACATGATTGAACATAAAATGTTTTTGAACTTGTCTTTCGGAGAACTCCAAGTGTAAGCAGGACTATTTTGATATTGTTAATGGTCGTTGAGATCAAGAAAAATACAAGGTAGGTTTACGCCAGACCGCGTCTTGTCGTAACAGGCTTCGCGATGTCTCGCTGCCTGTTCCTCCAATCCACGCCTGGCGTACCTACCTTGGCCTGCGGCGCTAGCCTGCCTGCGGCAGGCAATGGCTTGTCCGTTGTCGGTTATTTTTTAACTTGTTGAATGCTGGGGGGCTCCGCCCCCAGACCCCCCTACATTCTAAATAGAGTCGTTTTATCTACAGATAACACGATCTTGACCCTTGTCACTTTTTAACTTGTCGAGGCTGGGGGGCTCCGTTCCCCAGACCCCCCTTTCTCCAAGACAGAAGTGGTCTATCTGCAGAAATCTCTGTTTTTCGCCGTTTTTTAGGTGTTTTTCGCCTATAAAAACTGAACCAGTTGAGCTAGGATGGTGAAATTTCGCGTGTGCCGAGCCAAGGACATACCCAAGAAGTGTGCAAAATCTCAGCCAGATCGGCCGAGCCGTTCAGGAGGAGTAGTGCTGACAGACAGACACACAGACAGACAGACAGACAGACAGACAGACAAAACTTTTCAACCCCACCTGAGTAACGGGCTTCGCTATCGCTCAGCCAAAAAAGTTTTAACTTATAAAATTTTTAGGTGTTGATCACTTTTAGCAATATCAAAGTAGTGTGGTGTACACTTATCGTGCACCTACAAAGAAGTTGAAAAACATTTCTGCCAATTAAATATTATCATACATGGTTTTAAAAAAATTGGGAACTTTTTTCCAACCTTTACGACAAGTTAGTTAACGTAAACTTTTTGCTAACTTTTGAACAGTTAATTAACATTAACTTGTCGCTAACTTTTGAAAACTTTTTCTTAGGAAATCCGCAACTCCCTCTAAATCAGAGAAGATGAAACTCAAATTTTTATACAGAACCACTATATTCCTCGAAGTTTCTGATCTGTTAAGTTTAACGTAACAAATTTAGTCGTTTCTCTCATCACTCCTTCTCATACCAAAATTGAGTTTCCACCCTGCCTCCCCAAAAAAATTAGTCTAGAAGGACATACAAATTGGATTGCAGCTTGTTGCACTATCCCTTTCAGTCAGTTAATAAGAAAATATTAATTATCTTGACATTTCAACAGAATTTTTTTTTCTAATCCTTACAATTTCAAGTCGTTTTGATACTTTTTTCGGAAATGACTTCAAATTGAAATTTAAGGACAGATTGGGTGTGTGGTACATGGGAGTCCACTAGAATAGTGTCCAAATCATATGTCCCGTAAAGCGGGAATGCTCCGACCGCCATAATTCTCATACCGCGCTGAATCGCCCACGGTATGTAAATAAGCGCCCCGGCTCGGCTCCCCCCACTCCCTTTTTTTCCTTTAACGAGTCGAGTTTTGCCATGGAAACGGCGATTTTGACAGCAAATTTCTCAAAATTGGCCACCAAATTTTTAACCAGATTTCAGCATGAGAATCAGCGTTCAAAGTTCTACAAGTCTGCAAAGTCTCATTAAAATCGTATAGAAAATTGCCGAAATGCATAAAGGGCCACACAAATTGAATCTCGGGCCGGCTGAATCCTGGGTATACTATAAGGCTACTTCGTGCCTTAAAAAAAAGTAGGGGTAGGTTGGGGAAGAAAAGTACAAAACGCGTACTTTGCACTGTACAGAAGTTTCAAATCAGGATTCAACTATTCTGCTCTCGTGAACTTATAATCCAATGCCTTCCTAATGAAATGGATCACTGTTCATTGATTACAGTTCCCTACATTACGTACAACATGCCAAAATGTATGTGATTTTGGAACTCCTAGAAAAGGGTAAGAAAAGTACACCACCGGGAAAGAAAAGTACAACGAAAAGAATTGCGATTTCGAACCAGGAGACCACCAATCTTGGCTCAATACAGGTTTACCCATAAAGTGGAGAGCTTTCACTTGCCATTAGTTCAAGTTTCGTCAAAATCGGTTAATTGGTTCTGATTCTACATGGACTCATCACAGAAGGTCCAAAAAGCCTTTTCTCAAAGATAAGTGGTTACATCATTTTTGTGCTTTGCTTCCCCTTTTCACGTAAATGCCCAATAACTTGTTTATTTCTAGTCTAATTCCATAACTTGTGTTGACTTTTTTTTTGCTTGTCTCGCCTCATCAAATCTATTCCCGTGATCAATTCTATTTTCATCCCGCTTTTAGTTTCTTAGAGGTTGTTTTTTTCTTTCCCAGTGCCTGTACTTTTACACTTATAAAAAATTGTGTTGAAGCCTAAGAGCATCGAACGGCACTGTTTTTCAAAGATGATGGTCTAAGCTATAAGGTGGTACCTTACATTGGACTGTCGGCTGATTCCGCAGGAAGCTGTACTTCAAAGTACAAACAATTTAAAAAAAGATTTTCATAGTTATTTTTAATGTTTTCTTCAAACGTGCAGTTTGATTCTAAATATTATATGTAGTACGGGGCTAAATTTATTTTTTGTCAGCGGGATGACCAATCTTTCTAAAACCACTAACGTGATGGTTTGGTGTAGTTTCAGTTCGGAGATATAACGGGTGTACTTTTCTTACCCGAGCCTCGAGTGTACTTTTCTTACCCAACCTACCCCTAGCCCACAGTTGATTTTTTACCTTCAACATTGATTTTGGGTCCCGGGTGCCTTGAATGTATGTGACCTACAGGGGGTCATCGATGAAAGGTCAAACAAGCACGGAAGCATATCGGCACAATGCTTCGTGATCGATTTCATCCAACTGAGTGCCCACCCTCGTAGCTCGTGCCCACGAGCTGCCCATCCTGGCCCAGTGCGGCCGAGACCGAAAGCACGAGCGAGCAGTAAAATGAGGAAACTCGGCGCTGCCATGAGCACCGATCAGGCCTTGAGAGACATGATGGCCATGCGGAACAAGATCCGTCATGAATTCGACAAACTGTCGATGATGGCACTCGAGGCTCAGAAAGGTGGGTTGTTTTATATCTTATTTTTACGAAATTTAGGTGACTTGTTCAGACTTCTCGCCACTCCAGAGGCGAGACTCTCAGACCCGTAAGTCTCGCCGAAATTTGGTCAGACAAAAAAGTCTCGTATAATGGTAAATTTTTTCGTAAGACATTTAAAATGTCGCCAAGTTTTGGTCAGATCTGAAAGCCTCGCCAAAATTTGGTCAGGCAAAAAAGTCTCGCCACAAAATGGTCACACACAAAAGCCGTCATTTTGTGGGGAGACTTTTGTGTCTAACCATTTTGTGGCCAGACTTTTTTGCCTGACCAAATTTTGGCGAGGCTTTCAGGTCCGACCAAAACTTGGCGACACTTTAAATGTCTTACGAAGAAATTAACCATAATACGAAGGTAGTTTTTCTTCGTATTACGAAGGTTTTTCTTTGTATCTTACAATGAAACAGCTAAAAAGATCCACATCACGAAGTAATATTGCTTCTTATCATGCTTGCGCCGAATTCACTGTAACATACGAATAACAAAGGTCGAATTTCAATGTAAGGCATTTAAAGTGGAGACTTTAAAGTCTCGCCATATTTTGGGGCGGAGTCTTTCCAACCAATTTGCAGTGTTTGGGTAAACTATAAGTCGATGCTGGTCTTACAGAGTCGTCGCCCCCTACACCACCCCTGCCGCGTGTGGCATCATCCAGGAAGGTGAGAGCAGTGCCTATGAAGTTATGACCGTAACAGGGGTCGAGTTACATTCAGTTCTTTCCCTTTTTCGTGTGTACTTTCCAATGAACCACCTGGGATAGGAGTCCCCTGGTGGTAGTCGGTAGGTCTGCTTACCTTCCGTTACCTTCGCTAATAAACGGAACGTTATTTCAGACAGCACGTAACAGCGCCTAACACCACGAATTAAGGCGCCAAACCATTTTTCAATGTAAACTTCGCTGTTTCTGTTTGTATTTTCTTAAGAATTTCTACAAATTGCTGCTTCATTTCATGATCTTTGAAGAAATTTGACCTGAAGTCTAGGTTGCCCATGAATTTTGCTGTACAAATATGTTGGAGTTGTTGACCCTTGGGTGTGCTCCGACATGCTGGCAGGTGGACCCGCTTCGGCTCATGGTGTATGTAACCAGGATGTTGGGGGTAAGTCCCGTGACCGTGGGGCCACCGTCGGCAGGTGGCCGGTCCACGTACCTCCAGTCGCGGGCATGGATGGTGTATTCCTTGGCGCTGATTATGACCAGCGTTCTGACCAATGGCCATCGTGGATTCACCGTAAGACCGGCGCTTTCTTGACTCGTACACTGTTAAAAAACGGTTGTACAGAAACAATCAGATGAGTGAAAATTTAGTCGTTCCAAAACATAGAATTTCATCATGAACCAAAGCGAAACAAATGTCGTTGAGTCTAGTAAGCGACATTTTGTCGTTGAAGAACAAAATTCTTGTTATCACTCTTTACGATACAATTTGTGTGGAAACAACATCTTTTGCAATTATCTGCTCAATTAAAGCATATTATAAATAATCATCTATTTTGTTCTTTTAAGTCATATGGAAATTACTATTGTTTAAAAAAAAACCATGCAAAATAAATTTAGTGACAAAAGTACACTATGAATATTGACGCTGACATTACAAAATTTCTTTTGGACTTTCACTACTTGTCGTTGATGTATTATTGTTGGTGCGTTATTACCAGTTAGTCGTTGTGAAATTATCCCTTAGTTCCAATACGACAACGGTTTAACAAGCTATTCGTTCCACAACAAATCATGTCGCTAAAAAAAGTTACCGATAAATGTGTCGCTAAGTTACGACAAAATTTTTACCAGTGTAACATGGCAGCACTGCCATGTAATGTGGGTTGTTCACAGTGTTTATGTGCAAGTTTGTACGTCCGTGATACATGATTTTAAACCTATCGTTTTGCGCAAAATTGTGCTCAAATTGCAGGGATCCTTAACCAATGTTCGCGAAAGGTTAAGGGTACGGACTTATGAAAGTGCAAAAGTGTATCCACACAAATTCGAGACATAAAAAAATAACCTACCCTTTTGAAAAGATGTTAGAAGTTAAGGGTAATAACTTTAACTCTTATCATAACGTTATGATGCCCTTATGAGGTAAGTTAAGGATCCCTGTCAAATTGGCACAAAATTGCGCACGTTTACGCATAGTATGCAAAGTCCACGTATGTACTGAGTCGTGCAAGCCACACGTTCAAAATAACTGTACAGAAAGATTTAGTGTGTGTACGAATCCAAGGCGTTTTCAAATGCGAGGTCCATACTCGTCTGAGCTCCACAGCCGATTGCTGCGGAGCTTTGACACACCGCAGATTAAGTTCGTCCCACAGATAATTGTGTTCAGAGTATACCTCGTTTTGAATATCATTGTCCGGAACACCACAGATTGAGTTCTGGCCGCACAGGCAATTGCGTTGAAATGGTAGTGAGAAGATACGCTGTGGCCAAAAGGTGCGGAAAATTCTGTGTAGTACTCCAACTAATTCTCCGTAATCCTCTTGTCAATATTCTCGGTAGGACCTTTCAGTCTTGTGGAAGACTCCTACGGAGAGCACTAAGGTCCTACAGACAAATACTGTAAGGTCCTACGCAGAATATAGATAAGAGGGCTAAGGCGACTCTTGGCAAAAAAAAATAACAGACTTTTCCGTAACTTTTTGCTTTGGTGCTTATGAGCAATAACCGATGAATGGTCGCCTTTCTGCCACCAGTTCCTTGTGGACGTAAACAGCCGGACTGTGACCTCAGCGGTGGTCGGCGTGCTGTTCTCCGTCACGTTCCTCACGTCCGTCGTGAGCAGCCTGTTCTGCCTGGTGGGCACGGTGCGCAAGTACCGCCTGCTGCACACCATCCTGTCCTGGCCGACGCCCGCCAACGGGCCCTCCGGCACTGTGCTAGCCTTGCAGATCGCCGCGTCCATCGCAGCCTACGGCGTCACTGACATTCCCATCGTCCTCATGTTCCCCCCAATCATAATGGTAAGCATGCCGGGGTCACTGCAAATGCAAATCCGTTGACGATAGGTCCTGTACTGTGAATATTACAAACATAGTACAACGAAAAACGTGAAAAAAGGGTAAACGAGGACCAAGGGGGGCTGACTCCCCTGAACCGACACCGTGTACGAAGTAGAACCCCAAACCACCAAGGTAAAAGGTCAAGCCATTTTGGCTGGGGTCGCTTTCCGAATTTTGAGTTCCACCCGAGGGGTGTCCCACTCTGCTAATCGTGCTTACACTTAGTCCAGTAATCACGTCAAAACAGCACTCTGAAAATCTTACAAACTACGTTGGGCCTTACAAAGAAAAGCAGCTTGTTATAAGAAAGCATTTTGAGTATACATACATAGCTTACAAAGAAAATGCTTCGTAATTTACGAACTATTTCTTCGCATAACAAAGTAAATTTGTTTGTATTATGAATGCTAAAAATACTTTATAAGGTTTTAAGCGTGAGGATATTATCGCCGTTTTTCTTGGTGTTTGCGGTTTCTCTTTTGAACTTATTGCGATCCTTTTCTGCCACTTCAACCTTGTAGGCTAGTTTTGATGGAGAAGCAATGACTTCAGACTGTGGTGTATGAATTTCCTCATTACCTTTCATTCCTAGTTTTATTGGAAGAGCTCTTTTTCTTGGGGGGACTTTTCCTTCGTACCCTGAAAAAAATGGGGGGGGGGGCGAAGAGAAGTAACTAAAATCAAAGACATGCAAGAAGGGTATTGCCTTTTGAAATGAGTTGCCAACCTCATGTGGAGTGACAGTGAATCGGGAGCCGAAAGATTAGATCGTTTTGACCCTTCCGTTTAACCGACCCCTGCCTCCTCCTGTTCCAGTAGGCCACGCAACTGGTCCTTCTAGTGTGGCTGGTGATAAACATGGTGGACCGCTTTACGTTGGCGCACCTGCTAAAGCTGGTCGGCCACAGCTTCGCCGCCGTCAACGGCGAGCTGCAGCAGTTGGCGACCCTGGTGCGTGAGCGCCCACAGAAGTACCTTCCGGACGCGTCAGCCAAGGTGGCTGTGCTCCGAGACGCCCACGACAAGGCCCAGGACCAGCTCGACCACATCACGAAGGTGCTGTGGGCTCGGTTACACTGTTCCCGGAACAGTGCACGAACTCAGCAGACTCAACAGACAGTGCGCTCTGTACGCTCTCTTCTGCGTGTATTCATTTGAGTACATAAGCCATTTCATTTGAGTACTACACTGCGAGGAACGTGTTTTCTTTTGAGTACACTCCCAGAAGTGTGTGCTCATTTTCACACCGAGGAGTATTAACATTACATCTCAGATGTGAGTTCACACCTCCAGCTTCACATATTGCCAGGCGCACTGAAAATCCACCAAACGCTATGAATATAGCGTCAATTGGTGCAATGCTCTTGCATTTCAAATAAGGTGAAATGCCTTCCCATGAACGGGCATAGGGCATTTTCGCGAAGCATTGCACGTAAGGTGCGTGCAATATGGCTTTGACATTGCTAGCACGGTGCGATAGCTCAGTGCATTGCACCATACGTGCTATACTCAGCGTTTGGAGTCTCATTGCACGCTGAGGAGGTTGCCTACTCATGTGGAACATGCTCTCGTACGTGTGGAGTAAACGCTTTTTACAACACACCAGTGAATACTAGCTGCAAGTTAGTGTTGGGTCAGTTGGGGCGGGACACGGAGCAAGGGTATTTCGATGGAACTGAACCGGAACCCCGAGCAGTAGAAATATCTGGACCCGGTATGAGAAATCAGATGTGCGGAGGACTGAAAATATGCAAAATCGGGTGTGCGAATGACCTCCGCACACCTGATTTCTCATAGCGGATCCAGATATTTCGAGGGGTCCTATTCAAAGGATCTTATCTGAGCGTTCCTCCGAAGACAATCTTATCTTAAACGCCTGCAAATTTCGATCGTTTTGATCAATCAGAATAAATACGACGGTAAGCGAAACATATTTCTACATGCACTGTTGGTTTCGTTGCTCTTCCATCTTTATGTTTACGCGATCAAACTCACAAATCAAGAACCTATAAAGCCCCAATCCGACTGACTCACTCACTCACTGACTCACTCACTCATAGAAATGTTTGGGGTCAAGGAGTGGTCGTAGAGACTTGCGGTTTTTTCCATTCGATTCCAAATTTTATGGGAAAATTGGGAAAAATCCCAAAAGTTGAAAATTCCTCACCGTTTCCGAGAAAACCTACTTTATCTACAAAAAAAGGGGAACAAATTTCTCACCGTTTCCGAGCAAACCTACTCAATCTTCAAAAAAGGGGACCGACCGACTAAAAATTTTTATTCGCCCCATCGGTAGGTCTAGTCGAGACATTTCCGAAACTGTGCCGCAATCGGGTCCACGTCACCGGCAACATCCTCAAAAACGATAAAATAGGCCTAAATTCAACCAAATCCACTCAATCTTCAAAAAAGGGGACCGACCGACTGAAAATTTTTATTCGCCCCATCGGTAGGTCTGGTCGAGACATTTCCGAAACTGTGCCGCAAACGGGTCCACGTCACCATCAACATCCTCAAAACGATAAAATAGGCCTAAATTCAACAAAATCCACTCAATCTTCAAAAAAGGGGACCGACCGACTGAAAATTTTTATTCGCCCCATCGGTAGGTCTGGTCGAGACATTTCCGAAACTGTGCCGCAAACGGGTCCACGTCACCGGCAACATCCTCAAAACGATAAAATAGGCCTAAATTCAACAAAATCCACTCAATCTTCAAAAAAGGGGACCGACCGACTGAAAATTTTTATTCGCCCCATCGGTAGGTCTGGTCGAGACATTTCCGAAACTGTGCCGCAAACGGGTCCACGTCACCGGCAACATCCTCAAAACGATAAAATAGGCCTAAATTCAACAAAATCCACTCAATCTTCAAAAAAGGGGACCGACCGACTAAAAATTTTTATTCGCCCCATCGGTAGGTCTAGTCGAGACATTTCCGAAACTGTGCCGCAATCGGGTCCCCGTCACCGGCAACATCCTCAAAAACGATAAAATAGGCCTAAATTTAACAAAATCCACTCAATCTTCAAAAAAGGGGACCGACCGACTAAAAATTTTTATTCGCCCCATCGGTAGGTCTAGTCGAGACATTTCCGAAACTGTGCCGCAATCGGGTCCCCGTCACCGGCAACATCCTCAAAAACGATAAAATAGGCCTAAATTTAACAAAATCCACTCAATCTTCAAAAAAGGGGACCGACCGACTAAAAATTTTTATTCGCCCCATCGGTAGGTCTGGTCGAGACATTTCAGAAACTGTGCCGCAATCGGGTCCACGTCACCGGCAACATCCTCATAACGATAAAATAGGCCTAAATTCAACAAAATCCACTCAATCTTCAAAAAAGGGGACCGACCGACTGAAAATTTTTATTCGCCCCATCGGTAGGTCTGGTCGAGACATATCCGAAACTGTGCCGCAATCGGGTCCCCGTCACCGGCAACATCCTCAAAAACGATTAAATAGGCCTAAATTCAACAAAATCCACTCAATCTTCAAAAAAGGGGACCGACCGACTAAAAATTTTTATTCGCCCCATCGGTAGGTCTGGTCGAGACATATCCGAAACTGTGCCGCAATCGGGTCCCCGTCACCGACAACATCCTCAAAAACGATTAAATAGGCCTAAATTGAACAAAATCCACTCAATCTTCAAAAAAGGGGACCGACCGACTAAAAATTTTTATTCGCCCCATCGGTAGGTCTGGTCGAGACATTTCCGAAACTGTGCCGCAATCGGGTCCCCGTCACCGGCAACATCCTCAAAAACGATTAAATAGGCCTAAATTCAACAAAATCCACTCAATCTTCAAAAAAGGGGACCGACCGACTAAAAACTTTTATTCGCCCCATCGGTAGGTCTGGTCGAGACATTTCCGAAACTGTGCCGCAATCGGGTCCCCGTCACCGGCAACATTCTCAAAAACGATTAAATTGGCCTAAATTCAACATAATCTACTCTATCTTCAAAAAAGGTCACCGACCGACTAAAAATTTTTATTCGCCCCGTCGGTAGGTCAAGTCGAGACATTTTAGAAACTGTGCCACAATCGGGTCCCCGTCACCGGCAACATACTCAAAATCAATCATCAATTGTCAACAAGAACCTATGAAGCCCCAAAATCCGACTGACTGACTCCCTTACTCATCAATCAAGAACCTTTATAGCCCCAATCCGACTGACTGACTCCCTCACTCGCTCACTATGTTTGGGGTCAAGGAGTAGTCGTAAAGACTTGCGGGTTTCTTCCATTCGATTCCAAATTTTATGGGAAAATGATATAAAATCCCATAAGTTGAAAATTCTTCAACGAGCTTTCGAAGAAGCAGGACATTTACTTCCTTAGAAAATTTGCCTTTGGTCACCACGGACTTACTGAAAATACTTCGGCACGCGCTCCACACATGCGGGGGTCTGGGGGCGGAGCCCCCAGCGAGCAGCGCGAGTTATATTTATATGTAGCTGTACCAAATGATCAAACTGTGTAAAATTCACCTGCGTTTAAGATAAGATTCACTGAGATTCCAAGCGCTATGAGTATAGCACGTATGGTGCAATGCAGCTGAGATATCGCACCATACGTGCAACGCCATGGCCATATTGCACCTTACGTGCAATGCGTCCCGAAAATGCCCTATGCTAATGCATGGGAATGGGGAGGCATTGCACTTCATGTGCAATGCTTTTGCATTGCACCAATTGACGCTATACTCATAGCGTTTGGATTCTCAGTGTTGTCTTCGGGGGAACGCCCAGATTAGATCTTTTGAATAGGACCCCTCGATTTCTACTGCTCGGGGTTCCGGTTCAGATCCATCGGAATACCCTTACGGTAGAAACGGAACCTGGTTTTCCCAGGAGGCCAATGGTGAAGGCATAGGCGATTTCCAGGCTGTTCCTGGGAAAACCAGGATCAGTTCTTACCGTGCTATTGGACGGCTGGTTTGGTTAAGGTTGTACATTTTAGAATTCATGTCACACCAAATTGTTAAAATAACATGTATCAAGGCATGATTTCTAAAATTTCAAATCTTTGTCAAATGTCAAATAATCTGGGGATGATGTCAGGACAGTACCTGCCGATTTTTGGCTTTTCACAGCGGCTTCTCAGTGGCAAACAAACTTTCCATCAGATTTTCAGTGAGCTGTTCCATTTTTACCGCGTGTCCCGAAATGACTCCAACTGACCCACTGAGTTATACTACCGGTACATCTGAGTTTGCAGAGAAGGTGGGAAATGTCCTTTGTCGGGTAACGTCGCCCTGGTCCGCCAGGCGTTCGAGCTGCAGATGGTGGGCATCCTGCTCAACGACTTCACGAATGCTGTCATGGTCGTGTACTTGACCGTGCAAAAGGTGTCAGGCAACAGCACGGGTTCCGAATCTTTCTCGGACCGGCTTCTGATCAACTCCACGTACAGCTTCGCGGCCACCGTCGTTGCCTGCATGGCCAGCTCATGGACAAGCCAGCAGGGAAGCGAAACGCAAACTTACGTCCATAGAGTCCTCCGAAGTCCCTTCGTCAGCGAGGCCGAGACGCAGGAGGTATGTGCATACGCCTACCAATGATGGCTATTTTTGGCGAAGCGCGAGCGAACCCGCACTCTCAGGACTTTTCTCTCTCTTGCTTTTGACGTTTTTTTTGAGCGAAGGTAAAATGTTTAACTATGCTCAATTTCGATCGTTACAAAGATAATATTGCCAAAAGATCATGAAGAAATTGAGAAGTATACTGCAAATGACAAAAAGTTAGGTTTAATGGACCAAATACACTATGCAGTGTACAAAATAGTGCATAGCTTACGAGAAAATAATACATATGTACTATTTTCTCTTACGTTTGCACAAAAAAACTTTCTTGCGAGCGATGAAAAGTCAATACGAGAGAGAGTGCGACATCATCCCTTTGTGAGTCAGCTTCTGAGAAAGCGGCGGATGGACTGCAGACCAGGATCATATCAGACGACATTACCAGATTCCACAGGACATCTTTTGGCCCACGGATGCAGTTTTGAGGACACTCCATGGAGATACAATTTCGTGTCCTCCTGGCGGGACAAATTGATTAATTAAAATTCAATAGTGCGTCCGTCAATGTGGCGCCAGGTGGAAACAAAGTTTTACCACCGTCGGATCACTGTTACCCCAATAGTGATTATGAACTCGCTTCCAAAACAGTACAATTTTTAATTACATTATTAGCGCAATGCAAAAGTTGTTACGTAATTTCAATACTTGAATTTGCGTAACGCTTGTGTCTGGGACTTACACTCTCAGTCTAGTATTGACTTTTTATCTCTTGCCATAAAGTTTTTTGTGCCAACGTAATATGTACTATTTTCTCTTGAACTATGCACTATGTATTTTGTCTATTGTATAATGTATTCAGTCCATTCTACCTGACTTTGTCATTTGCAATGTACTTTTCAATTTCTACATGATCTATTGACAATTTTATCTTTAACAGGATCAAAATTGTGCATAGTTAAAGAGAACATGGTACATTTCACGTTTGCTCAAAAACCGTCATAAGCAGGAGAGAAAAAAGTCCATATAGGTCTGAGAGTGTAGTGTCGCCATGAAATTTACAGTGGATTATCATTTGTTTCAGCTGACCATATTCTCCTTGCAGCTTATGCACCAGAAGCTCACCATGACGCCCCTGGGCATTTTCGAAGTGGACAACACTCTACTGAGCAGAGTAGGCATTATTACTTTGATTTACACTCTAAATGCCTTTCAATGAAACTTAAGCTGTGTTACAGTGAATTCGGCGCAAGCAATACGAAGTAATATTTATTCATTTACGAATCTTTTTAAAGGAACTCTTTAAAGACGGAACCTTTTTAAAAGGAATCTTTTTAATATTTTTATAATAAGATCTTCCGTAATGCGAAGAGGAACTACCTTCGTATTACGCTTGCGCCATTTCTTCGTAAGGCATTGAGTGTGAACGGTATCGTAACAACATAATCTCATTTTCGGTTGCAGTTTTGCCTCAGTGTCGTCATGTACGTTGTCGTGCTGGTGCAGTTTGGCTCATCAACTCCTCCCTCACCGCAAAAGTGAGCGGAGTGGTTAATCCGTTGTTCTGGCGTTAAAAGAGGCCTGGATGAAGGCACCCGGGCTCGTACGAGGCCGGACGATAAAACCATCTCCTGGGAATTTTAAAGAGTTGACCGACAGTCCTGACAATCCAAGGGCACGGTAAAAACATTTTCTGGAAATTTTAAAGGATTTGCCGATATTCCTGACAATCCCAGGGCACGGTAAAACCATTTCCTACGAATTTTAAGGAATTGGCCGATATTCCTCACTACCAGAAGAGATTTTTCTGGGCATTGACCGACGTTCCTGGGAATCCCAAGAGATGGTTTTACACTGGGATGTGCTCTCAAGGTTGGACTGGCTTCTAAAGGGCCCTCCATAACCGACCCCCCTCACTAAATGTCATTGGACTTTTTTTGCCCCACGAATGATGCAATTTTAAGCACATCCGCTGGTGATGCAATTTTGTGTCCGCCAGGCGGGACAAATTGTCTAGTGAAAGTACAAGTTGCAGCTGGCGCCGGACAAAATGTGTCACCAGACGCGAACAAAATTGTATCAGCGTCGGATGTGCTTAAAATCGCATAAATCGTGGGACAAAAAAAGTCCCATGACATTTAGTGTGTAATCCATTTTTTTTTTAATTCCCCGATCGAACGATCAAAAACCAAACGAAAATCATCTTTGTGACTACGCAATGTAGATTTTGCCAAAACAAAGAAATGAAAATTGTTTGGATTTTGCGTTATTGAATAAAACCTAATACATAAAACGCGTTGAGGAGAAAATGAAAACTGAAAGGCCCTCGCAAGACAGGTATTAGTGTTTTTGGAACTGCGGTGTACAAACCAATGGAATTGAGTTCGTTTCGACTGTTACAACTTTATTGTTCGTTTCTTGATTCTGATGCAAGACAGGTAATGTGGTAGGGGTCGAAGTTGGTGTTTAGTACTTCTCCGAAGTAGCCAGACGCACCCACCAAAAGCAACTTTTTCACAAAAAATTTAGAGTTTTTTTATTGTCATAAGATATTACAACTGAGACACAGACAACGTGGCCTGTTGACATTTTCCAGAAAACCTCGGTCAGCAGCCAAGTCTCTCATGAGTGTAAGCTGCGAATAGCAGCAGCGACAGCCAGGTCGACCTTTTTCAGCTTGCCTTGAGTGGCGTCGTAAATTTGATCCGGTCCAGACACAAACTTTGTGATGGCATCGATGTACGTACTGTCATCGTGGTACCGCGCAATGTCGTCGACGGTTTTAGCAGCCGTGTCGAATGCATCCTATACATCAAAGATACAATCATGATGAGTTAGACCCAGGGACGTCTGAAGGAGCAACATGCTGGAGGACCAAAAACTGATTAGAGCGACTGGTACATGACCAGTTAATACTCGTTGTTCAATTTTAACAGCGCAGAGTAAACAGAGCACACAAAATAAAAAAGGAATTTGTTGACCCAACGAAAAAGCACGTTGATTCCATGATAACAGAAATGTTTTTCTTGAGTAACGAACTATTTGTTGGTAAAACTAAGAATCTGTTGGCGCAACAAGAAGACTCGTCCAAGAATTCATGATTTTGTCTCTCCAACTAACTCTTTTGCTCCGCGAACGGATTGTTCGTCGTACTTAACAAATTATTCGTTGCGCGGAAAAACTTTTCGTTACTCCAACTATTTTGATTCGGTTATCACGGAACCAACGTACCGTAAACCGGGGTAACTTGAGAGAGTATTTCACGTTTTTTGGACCGTGTGTCCACGAAACTTCTCTCACCAACCCGAATCCCAACTATGTTTTATTTCACATGATTACATTCGGTTTGGACCCCACGAATTTTTTGGGGGTCTCCTAATATGAGAGTAATGGGCCTCTAAAGTTGTCTCAAGTTACCCCGTCATTTGGGGTAACTTGAGACACACCTAGTTTTTACTTTGCTTTTTCACGGAAGTGGTTTTTTTGCCAGTCCATACTGACTTTCTGAGACATTTAACTCATTTTCAATGAAAAGTACTACTTGTGGAATATATTGGAAGATTTTTGATCCTTATATTAAGATTTTTTCATCAAGGTTACATTTGGATAACGGCACTTCAGAAGCGCAACGATTCTCCCATTTCACATCCAACTCTGTCAATTAAGTACAGCGATTCTCTCATTTTACATCCAACCCTGACACCTGTTAAGACATTTTTCTTTATTTCTACGTACACAAGTCCATTCCTGCAAAGGTAAATAGTCTTAGTCAATTTTTAAAATTTACTCAAAATCCTTAAACTATTTTTACAGTTAATTTTCTTCAAAAAATCGACGGTTCTTGGGCTATAAGTTGTCCGATTTCAATGACATTTAGCTCTTTGGAAAGGTAATTAAATTCCCCATCTTTTGAGACCTCAAGATTAATTATGTCTCATCTGGTCCGTGAGTAGTTGAGAAAACACTCCAACTTTAAGCTGCATATCCACTCGGGACCCTTAACACTGCCTAAAAATGTGATTCCCGATCAAATGCGGCTTAGTTTTGATCGTAAAACGGAGAGGTCCGTTACTTCAAACCACCCTGTAGTACAAGGAGGTGCCAGTGTCAAGTTACGCTACTCAACTTCCGTCAAATTCAATTAAATTTGGTGTCTCAAGTTACCCCGCACAGTTACCATTTTCTATAAAAGTCAGTATTACCCGATGAATGATGGGTTTTCCTCAAAACCAATGCTGCATTTAGAATGTTGAAATAATAGGGTTGAAAGGCACTACAGTCATTTGGGTCTCAGCAAGACGTGTTTCGAGTACCAAAGGAGACCTGTAACACTTCTCTAAAATTGTTAAATTTACTAAAATTAAAAAATTGTTATGGATTTGACCAGCTTGGTCCTAACCCGCCGTTCACACGCTTAATCGTCTTTCCAAACAAGTATGAAAGAAAGTGCTGGGGCAGTTTTGACCTCCGAATGTGCCGAGCTAGGTGGCAGCTCCAAAAAGGTGAAAAAGCAGAAGTGTCTCAAGTTACCCTTGCTGTCTCAAGTTACCCCGGTTTACGGTACTTTCTCCTTGGGGCAATGAATTCCTTTTTCCATGCAGCTGCAAGTCAAAGTTTCATCTTAACCGGTAGAAATTGCTCAGTCCGCAAAACTAAGGGACCGTAACCCCGTTTGCGAGTTTTGAAACAATCGCACAAGTCATTTTGCTGTCTGGGAGCTTCGAGTGCAGTGCTCCCTTACGTATGCCGCAAATGTAAAGAAATGGCTGATTGAAAATGATTGCGCAGTGTGGCTGTCGCACTAACCTCAATGACGTCATCAGAAAACGCCTTCGCGAAAGAAGCGTACTGCGAGTAATCCGCCAGAACTTCAGCCAAGACGGCAGTGGCGGCATCGAAGGGGTCAGCCTGCCGGGAAAAGAAATTGGCAATGAGTTCTGTAAATTTTAACACCTGTGCATGGAAAGTGAGCCGACGTAGTAAGCGGGAAAAGGAGCTATTTTTAAGGGGAGACTCAACTTTTGGTGATGGGGAATCTACACTCAAACATTTCTCTGCGTTGTTAAAATAACAGAGGTTGGGGTGGCATATTCAGGTGCCAATTGGCTGAAATTTAATTTCCTGGTGCAGAAGTGACTGAGGGACAAGAATATGGCCAGGGATTTGACCTTCGGCAAATACTTCCTGAGACACTGGCCAAAACACTTGAAGAGGACACAAAAGAGTCCCACATCTTCGATAATTTTTGTTTGACCTGCCGAAAATACAATCGTGTGCAGAAAAAGACCAAAGAATCCAAAGTATGGTGGACCTCGGAAGGACGTCATCGGGGACCTCAACGTAGCCGACGACGACACTCAAATTCACACACTAAATATTTATGTAGAATTTTGTACGTCGTGATGCAGGATTTTAAACCTGCGTGACGTTTTGCATAAAATTGTGCAGAAAATCGCATAAATGTATGCATTTTCACGCATAATAATATGCAAATTCCCCGTATGCACAAAATCGTGCAAGTGGCACGTACAGAATTCTACATAAACATATAGTGTGTAGAAAACGAAACACGTGTTACCAAATTTCGGGTAATGAATTTCTCGCCAACCAAAATTAGTCAATACGATTGCATCACCCATTTCAAGTGGCTCATTCATTCTCAGTGTCAGCATCCTGAACCACGAAAACCGCTGCAGGACTGATTCTCACCGTTGTTGATCGCTTCTTCCGATCTCTAACAGGACTGTCATCAGGACCTGGGGTTGGAGCTTCGGTGAGTGCATCAGTAGGAGCCTGGGTAGGAGCTTCAGTGGGAGGCTGGGTTGAAGCTCCAGTAGGAGCCTGGGTTGGAGCTTCAATGGGAGCCTGGGTGGAAGCTCCGGTGGGAGCTACAGTAGGAGCCTCTGTAGAAGCCTGGGTAGGGGCTTCAGTGGGAGCCTCGGTGGGAGGTTGGGTAGGAGCCTGGGTAGGAGCTTCAGTAGGAGCCTGGGTAGGAGCTTCGGTGGAGGGCTGGGTAGGAGCTTCAGTGGGTGGCTGGGTAGGAGCTTCGGTAGGAGCCTGGGTAGGAGCTTCAGTGGGGGGCTCGGTAGGAGCTTCGGTGGGAGCCTGGGTAGGAGCTTCCGTGGGTGGCTGGGTAGGAGCTTCGGTAGGAGCTTCAGTGGGGGGCTGGGTAGGAGCTTCAGTGGGGGGCTGGGTAGGAGCTTCAGTGGGGGGCTGGGTGGGAGCTTCAGTGGGAGGCTGGGTGGGAGCTTCGGTGGGAGCCAGGGTAGGAGCTTCGGTGGGTGGCTGGGTAGGAGCCTCGGTGGGTGGCTGGGTAGGAGCTTCAGTGGGAGCGTCTGTAGGAGCCTCGGTTGGAGCCTGGGTGGGAGCTTCGGTGGGAGCCTCAGTAGGAGCCTCGGTGGGAGCTTCGGTGGGAGCCTCGGTGGGACCGGCAGTCGTGGCTGCAGCGCTGGCCTGCTGGGCTGCTTCGGCGGCAGCCGAAGCGTCTTGCGCTGCCTGCGATGCCTGATCCACCTCGCTCTTCCAAAGGAAAATCCGGTCTGAGAGCGCTGTTACTCTGATCCTGGAAGACTCGATCGACTTATCAAAGATCGACTTGAATGCCTGTGAACCGAGCAAACGTCACAAAAAGTTATGCTCCATAACACTTATGGGATGCAAATGCATGCTAACAAGATATCTTATTGAAGCGAAAGTACGCTTGATATCAAGCGTCAACTTATTTTGCTTGGCACACAATAAAATTTACTCTGAATTCAAAATGATACCGCGTCTAGAAAAAAAAACACATTAAACGCATCGGTTAAGGAAAAGATTATCTGATCGCATCCAAAAAGGAAACTGGTACTCATGTGCACACGGTGGAAACGGTTCTTGGTTTTCCCAGGAACTCCCTGGAAATCACCTCTGCCTCCAGCCTCCACCATAGGCTACCTGGGAAAACCAGGAAACGTTTCCACCGTGCATCCATCTGCGGTACACCTCATGAGGTGTGCTGTATGCACAAAGGAAACAGTGTCACACGATTTTCAGCACACACAATTTTTCGTACAAATGGGTACGAAGAATCGCCCTAATTTGTGCGAAAAGCACGCACGCGCAAAATTGTGAGGCCACCTCCGAATGTTGCGAGGATTTTAAGGTGTATACTTTCCAAGCAATGCGGTCAAAAAATGAAAAACAACCAAGGTTGATATGATAAACTTACCACGGCGGCGGAGGCGCCGAGACGTTTGAACCTCTTAATTTCGGCGTCCACCACGTGGCGCGGCAAGGGGACCCTCTCCGCCCTGTCCACGTACTGCTGCAGCTCGTCGCTAGCATCTCCGAATGAGTCGCTGATGATCCAGCCAGCCTCTTTCGTCGCCTCGTGAACTGCATCCAACACCTTTTTGCCTACGGCACGGACCTCTATACCTGTGAGGAAATAGAGACCGACTGATGCACTGGTGTACTCCCTTAATGCGAGCCTCAATGTCCGCGGGTTTTACCCCAAGTTTAAAATTGAAAAAGATGTGGGTAAACATTTTGGCACAAACTCTACAAACTCAAGTTTGTACATAGTACACACTACCTGGAGTGTACATGCATGTACACTCCTGGTGGCGAATTCCTTCCGGTACACTGTTGCTGGCTCCCTGCTGCAGGTATGAGCCACCTACCCAGCCGAGAATGCATTTTCGATTCGAGGTCGATTCGACGTCGATGCATACGATGATTGCTCGAAGTCGTTTTTCACGTCGAATTTTCCCAAAAAATCGAAAAGTTGTTATTGGTCGTTCATAACATTGGGCAGACTGGAAAGCCATAGCTATACTATAAACAGGGTAAGAAAATGTTCCTTTGTTCATCTGATATGTCAAATTGACATGTTAGAATTTCGGTATCAGATCGATATCGATTCGAGCAACGGTATCGATGGTAGGTACCTGATTTGGTAGAATGTTTCTGATATCTCAAAATTCTATTCTGTGTCACTTTCACTCCAAACGGGGAGTGCCATTGGCTAATTTCACCTGGCTGAAGACGTTTCCCCCTTCATTTGAGAAAAATCATTGTCAACAATTTGTATGAGACTCTTGCAAAGAAGTAACATCTAGTCTCAAGCTGAAATCTTTTTTCAATTCCGCGTTTTGACTTACGAAACGCCACACGGTAAAAGCGGTTCCTGGTTTTCCCAGGAACACCCTGGAAATCGCCTATGTCTTCGCCATAGAGCTCCTGGGAAAACCAGGTACCGTTTTTGCCGTGCACCTCGATCCGCTCCGCAGGTCTTCACTTACACTGTTAAAAAATGGTTGTATAGAAACAATCAGATGAGTGAAAATTTAGTCGTTCCAAAACAAAGAATTATATCATGAACCAAAGCGAAAGAAATGTCGTTGAATCTTGTAAGCGGCAATTTGTCGTTGAAGAACAAAATTCTTGTTATCACCCTTAGCGATACTATTTGTGTGGAAACAAAATCTTTTGCAATTATCTGCTCAATTGAAGCATATTATGAATAATCATCTATTGGTCTTCTTTAATCATAGCAACATCACTATTATTTAAAAAAGAATTGGGCAAAATAAATTTAGCGATAAAAGTACATAAAAGTACTCCATGAATACTTGTCCCAGACATTACAAAATCTTTTTCGACTTACAAGACTTGTCGTTGACCAACAATATTTGTTGTTGGTCAACGACCTGTATGTGAAAGTAGACTGCTAATGTGTTATTACAAGTTAGTCGTTGTGAAATTATCCTTTAGTTCCAGTACGAGTTTGGTTTAACAAGCTATTCGTTCCACAACAAATCTTGTCGCTAAAAAAATTAGCGATAAATGTGTCGCTAAGTTACGACAAAATTTTTGTCAGTGTACTCTTAAATTTGGCTGGTCTGGCTGCAGTAACTCAGAGCTGCGGACAACCGGCACCTAACAGCTGTGGTAGCGCAGTGGTTAGAGTGCGCGGCTAGTAATCGGGAGGTAGCGGGTTCGGATCCCCCACAAGTTATATCGGCAAATGGCATTCTTGGCACTGCATAGTGACTACAGTGCATTGCTTTTTCGAACAGGATAGGACCTCGATTATAGATCGAAATCGACCTTAAATCGACTCCGAGTCGACATCGTTTTAAAGTACATATCGATATCGATTCGAGGAATTTTTTCGACCTTTCCAGATCGACGTCGATTCGACCCCGAATCGAAAATGCATTTTTGGCTGGGGTAAGCCGCTTGCGTCGTGCAGAACCAATGCGAATCTACGAACAGCCGCCCCTACCGCGCCCCACTGACCCATGGTCGACACCGCAGCATGCACTCACTCCCATTTTCTGCGTTTTCCTTGCAACACTTGCACTTGGGTAAAATTCAAGGGGATTGACACGACCTGAACCTCATGTCGTCAGAACTTGATGAAAGTTGGCTCAAATGTTACCCCCATAGGGGTAAGTAAGCCCACAAAATTTGAACCCTCTAGCTCAACTAACATGGGCGCAGTGAGCAATCTAATTTTCGCCTGAAATTCATTTTCACCTTTTTCAGCAAAATGCACATTTTTGGAAAAATCGTCGCGCTGGCCGCCCCGACGGCCTTTCCTCCGCCTGATCGACGTTCCTAGACTCGAAATTGTCTGGGGAATCCGAATCTGGCGTCGGATTTCCGATAGCGTTCCGATAAAAATCCAAAAATCGCACTTTTTTACGGAAATTTAGTTATTTTAGGGGTTTACGCGACAGGCCGTATCCACTAGCCCCCAATCCAAACATGCCCGTTTCAACTTTTTTTCAGTTAAGGGACACCATAAGCCTAATTTTAAGTTGGGCCCCGATATTGTGTATGGGTCTCGTTCAGGAGCTAGCCCTATGCCCAACTTTTGACTTTTTCCCTACAACTTGTTTTTCTATGAAACCTTTAAAAAGGCATGGCCTCCTCAAAAAACGTCCTAGGCGGCAAATAATGTAGTCTAACGGACGCAGAATTTCCCGAGGATCACGATGCTGCACGTGCATTTGAGTTTTGGGGCCTCAAACACAGTTAAAACTCCAAAAAACAACAAATTTATGTCAAATGCCACAAAATGTTGAACGGCAGTTACGACCCTTTTCCCCGTCGCAAGGCCGCTTTGCCGTTGCCTACTCGGACTCATTGGAGTTTCCACTTTGAGAATAAGCAGAAAAGGGTCAGC